GTCTCGAAAAACCACAAAAAAAAAAAAAAAAAAAAAAGAAAGAAAGAAAGAAAGAAAGAAAGAAAGAAAGAAAGAATCCAATAATAAAAGTTGACAAGGAGATGTAAACTGTTCAAAAGTAAGATTTTAAGATTAGTAGAATCAAAAATCCATGGACCTTGTGAATTATATCAAAAACATGTTAGGGTATTTTGGAAGACATTTTGGAGAGTGGAGAAGTTTCTGAAAACTAGAAACAGAGTGGTGCTATTTTTGAAGAACTTTTTTAGTAAATCTGTAATATACATGAGTGGGCATAAATAGAGAAGTCTTTTTCTAGGTCCACGCATGCAATTGCTGGAGAATACACAAAGCTTAAGGACTAGGCCTCCTAAATGTGGGTGACAGTTGGAGAGTTTGGACAGTCGATGGAGCTGCTGGCAATGGAACCAGTAATTATCACTAGTGCATGAACTGGCTTTTTGGAGCCCATTCCCTATGGAGGGATGCCTAGATACAGAGGGGATGGCCTTGGATCTGCTCCAAATGATGTGACAAACTTTGATGATTCCCCATGGGAGGCCTCACCCTCTCTGAGGAGAGGATGAGGCTAGGGTGGAGAGATGGTAGAGGGAGTGCGAGGACAGGAGGGAGAGGGAACTGGGGTTGGTATGTAAAATAAGATTGTTTTAAGAATTAAAAAAGAGAGATTATGGCAGAAAAAAATGGAGCAAGTTGAACCAAATAACTTGAAATCTTTTACATTTAAAATTGTCCCCCAAATCAACTGACAAATATGTTTACGCTTACATAAATCCAACTGAAGACAGAACCAAACAGCCATGGATCCTTTGCTAGACTTCAGAGGAAATACATTGAGACCTAACAAGAAACCCTGGTCCTATTGCAATAGACTTAGAGAACAGATCCAGAGTTTACAAGCAAAACTACAGAATAATAGATGCATACAGTGAACAAAGAACTTTCATAGTCTTTGGAATTCAGAATAACTTAGAAATGTGAAGGCTTCCATTGATATTCATAAATAAAGTAACTAAAAAATAGAAGTAGAGCCTGAGTGATCCTGAAGACATTATTAATTGCAATAAAGTAACTAAAAAATAGAAGTAGAGCCTGAGTGATCCTGAAGACATTTTTTTCTGCCCCAGATGCCTGCCAGAGGCTTCCTGCCAATCTGTGGGTCTGGACACGGTTAAACACCTACTCAACCTATATTTTGGCAGCAATGATAGAGGAAAAATGGTTGTGGCCCACCAAATTGGGCTATAGAGATAGGAACATAGAGATAATTCATATTTGAGAAAGAATGTGAAGGTGACCATTACTCCGTGTTGGACAACATCTGTATACGTGTCCTCAGGAAAGCCACAAAGCAATTCCCCCAAGAAATCCTCTGCTGTGACTAATTGAACAAGCAGGCCCAGCAAAGCTGCTCAACTCCCTTCTCTCCGACACCATGTCCTAACTGGACAAGTACAGCATGCTGTTAAGTTCAAGGGTCCTCCATGACTTCCTTGGCTCGCTCAGAGCTGGCATAAGCCTTGGGGTTATAACAACTCACCAGAGCCCTCAGAGGCAGTCAGTAAATTGCTTGGCGTGGATCCCCATTCCCCCCACACACACACACACACTGGCTTAACTTGCTCTGAGGCTTTCCATCCAGCAACAGGGCTGTAAGCATACACTTACAAGAATTTTGTTGGGTGTTGAATCACATAATACGTGTAAAACATTCAGCCTGGTGCCTGGAATGAATTAAGCATTCAATCAACATTGGCTTTTTGTCATTTTTAGCCAGAATCCTTACTAACTCAGCTTCTGTCACTAAAAGCATAGGAGACTTCTCTTTCTGGTTGAGTTCATGTTACAGCTCTGAAGAGGCATGGGCCACGGGTTCTCAGAGCAGTGTTCTCCTGGCAGGGCTGCAGTCCTCTTGCTAGGTTATTCGAACCCTTTTCTAAGTTTTGGAGTTGGTTAGCTACAGGTCAGAGCTCACAGACATCAGTGTCAGCATAGTCCACCTGGTAAGGCACGTGAGTGACAGAGGTCAGGAGTTCACACCCTGCATAGCCCACCCTGGAAACACACGTGATGACAAAAGCCAGGGGTGTGCATATCTAAAGATGCTGGAATATTCCTCACAGCCACTAAGAAATATGTTCTGTCACATAACTCACTGAACAAGGGCCCCTTCAGCACTGGTCATTTTCCATGTGTAATTTTCATAAGGACGTGTATGTAAGAAAGGATTTCTCTGCCATGAGAAGTGGGTGTTCAGGCATGAAAAGCCTCGGTATAGGCATTAACAGAACAAGAGAAGTGGCTATTGCTGGATGCCCAGTGGTCACAGGAAATGTGGATACAATGTCATCAGCCTTCCAAGTTTTCAAAAGACATTGAAATTTTTATTTGACTCTTTCTCTTCATTAAATTCTTAAGTTAACATTTTTTATTAAACAAAATAATAAGGGCTTCTTATAAATGTTTTGAAAAACAAAATAAAATGGCAATGAAAGCTGAACTTGACCTGGGACAGCCAGTTTGTCACCTCCCCTCACCAACAGGGCAAAGACTGTTTCCATAAATTCGGTGACCACAGTTAGAAGACAATTCAGCCTGGGACATGCCTAGACCCAGGGGACATCACTTTTGCCATGCCATCCAGGCAGGTACCCAGCACAGGTCACTCTGAAACCGCCTTCCAGTGACCCTGAGCTTCAAGGAAACAGGTCACAAACCCCAGGCCTGAGGGGACTCTGAGCCCTCTGGCTGATGGCCTAGCACAGTGGAAACTTGTCTGTGAAGCCTGTAGGTCGGGGCCTGGGTGAAGGACACCCCCTGTCTCCCAAGAGACTGAGCTTTTTAACAGGGGCACAGGCACATTCACCTTTGACATCTCTTTAAGCCAAACCAAACACTCTTCATCTTCGAAAACCCTTTTTCTGGGAGCAACTTTAAGAAGACATCCAGAGGAAGGCTGCAACGGATGAAATGTGGGTCTCCTTTTTCCCATAGGAAGGCGGCAGGGCTGTTTAGAGATCTCACTGTGGCATTTTTCTAATCACCTCAGGGTAACCTCCATCCCAGTAATTACATTCGGCCTTTACCCAGCATCTGCTCTGCTCTAGGCTCTATTCTAAACGAAACACCTTGCATCAGTTCATTTAATTCTCTCCACAATCGGATGAGGTTGGTGGTACCATTTTCTTCTTGAGAGAAGACATTGGTACAAGAGGTTAATTAATGGCCCAAGGTCATTCACAAGTAAGTGGTGGAATTCAATCTTAAGGCAAGCTCTGGAACAAGAGCTACTTCTTAACCGCTCAGGGTTGACAAATTCTTTCTCCATCTTCCAGAGGGAGGATCTGAGACTGGAATAGCTTAGCCTTTCCAACCCAACACACACACACACACACACACACACACACACACACACACACACATTTTTGGAAAGACTTGAGCAAGTACTCGTCCCTTCCACTCAGTTTACTTTGGATTTCAGCTCAGAAAACTCAATCCCAAGGATTTATCCCACTTAGAAGACATATGCCTTAATGGGGAGTAGGGGGCCAGAGTCCGAGACCTACCCACAAGAAGAGATTCCCATATGGCAGAAACTGCTTGCCCCCAGAAAGTTCCTTCAGGAGCTTGAAAATGCAAGCAAGCCTTCACTCTCTCCCCTCACCTCTTACCTCGTAGGTGCTGGTGATCCCCAGTCTATAAAACACCGGAAGGAAGACCTCTGCGCTGATGACCACCACAAAAAAGTAGGTGATGCCAAAGATGCTGAACATTGCCCCAAAACGGTAGACCTCGGCGGGGGTGCCCAGGACAGTGACAGCGGACATGAAGCTGGCGGTGAGAGACAGAGCCACCGGCACTGCGGTCATACTGCGACCACCCATCAGAAAGTCCTTGGAGGTCTGCTGGCCGCCCCCCGCGAAGGCATAGTAGATGCCTATGACTGCCGAGATGAGCAGCATGCCTGCGAACACCACGTAGTCCCACACCACAAAGCTGCCAATGACCCGCGACTCGTCCATGGCCCCCGCGGTGACCTGAGCCCGCCCGGAGTGAACAGTGGTGGCCTGCTCAGCAGCACAGGTCGCTCGCTTTAGCCTCCGACCGCGCTACCTTCTTTCTCCCTGTTGCGGCTGGCGTGGCGTCGGCGGAGACCAGGTACGTCCAGCAGATGTAGATCCTCGTGGAGGTGGGAGCCTAGCTACCCGCTGCCAATCACCCGGTGGGGGAGCCCCCTGTCGCCAGCTGCGTCCCCGGCAGCCTGGGACCTGGGGAAGTCTGCGCGTTGGCGCGGAGCGCTCACTAGTTGCCAGACCAGAGTGGCCCCGAACTGTGACTACCTAGGCACCAAGCGACTCTGGGGCGGGTGAGATCTGGAGCCTCCCGCCGCGTCCAGCGAATCCACAGCGCGCTCTCTGCATTAAGTGACAGCGGCTGCGACGCACCATTTAAAAAGGCAGGTGATGGGTGTGTTGGGGCGGGGGTGTGGATCGAAGGGCAGTTGTCACGCCTTTAAGTTTAGCTTTCCAGTTCACAGTCCAGGTCCTTGCTTGAAGGTACACCTAGAGTTTGAGGCTCATCATCACTTGACAGATTAATGGGTGATGGGAGTGACAACTGTGGTAACTGAGATCACAGTGGTTAGTCAGGTGAGCAATTATAAAGGAGATGAAAGAGGCTTTCTGTGGGTTGCTTGAGTTTTCACTCGCCAAACATTTCTGATCCCTTATAGTCTATGTGATCCCCTACTAGAGCCTGCAGTAGCAGTTACAACTGTTATCCTCTAATTATATTTACGATAAAAACAAAAACAAAAATCCCAGATGTGTCTAGTGCCTTTTACAGTATCGAATGTGATTCTTACAATTACCCTTACGGTGGGAATTATCTCCATTTTTCTAAGGAAGGAAACTGCTTGGTGGAGGTGAAGTCACCAGCCATGAGGCACATGTCTGTAATTCTAGCACTTGCCAGGTGGGAGCAGGAAGACCAGAAGTTCAAGGTCATCCTCGGCTGTTCAGCAAGAACTACATGAGACCCTGCTGAGAGAGGAAAGGAGGAAGGTGGTGGTGGAGTGGGAAGAAGAGATAGGAAAAGAGGAGGAAAGGGTAGGAGAGGAGGTGAGTCACTTACCCAAGGAAATGATGGAAACGAAGTCTCTTAACCGGGCTCATGTATTAAAGGTAGACATGAATGTCACACTTAAAGCCACTTAAAATATCTTTAATGGTGTCTCTTAGATTTATTTATTTTTATTTTACGCGTATGTGTGTTTTGCCATCATGTGTGGCTTTGAACCATGTGCATGAAGTGCCAGTGGAGGTCAGAAGGGGGCGTCAGATTCCCTGGAATTACAAACAGTATTGAGCCACCTCGTGGGTGCTGGGAGTCCATCCGAGGTCCTCTGGAAGAGCAGCCGGTGCTCTTAAAGAGCCATCTTCTGAAAAAATCATTTCTAGTACCACTCAAGGCATGTTTTAAGTATCTTACTTTTAAATATTACTGTCAACATGTGACACATTTATAAAATAATATGATTCTCTGGGTTTCCTTCCAAAATATCCCCTCCAACCAACTGTACCCAGACTTCTAGTAATTTTGAACTCTCTTAGCTCATTTTCATACATCTTTATGATTTACCAGTTCATCTGCAGAAAGCAGTAGTCAAATACCCTCATCCCAATACAGCCTGAAGAAAGCTCTATCAGACTTTTAAAATCAGCTGTTATCATTTATATATCATCTGTGGAGGGAAACACAAGCTAAATCAAAGCAACCCAGTCATTTAAACAAGATGTTGAGTGGAATTTTGTCCCATCCATGAGAAATGTATCTCAAACTGTAAACACAACACAGACAGAAATGCTTCTAGGAAATGAATCTGCTTCTGAAAATGCCTGTAAAATCAACAAGCCTAAATCTGAGAAAAGGAATTAAGTGAAACTCCTTCCTTTGACACTTAAAGTCAAGTACAGAACTTCTGGCTACCCATGAGCAATGCATCACCACAGTCACTTAGCAGTAAACTACATTTGCCAACTCAGAATTTTTGCATCCTCTTACCCATTAGCCACGCCTTGGACAGGAACCTACTTCTATTTCTTAGTTTCCTTTACTCAAAATACTTAGCAATGTTTTATGTTTACATCTACTTGTATATGTGTGTGTGAGGGTCAGAGGACAACTGTTTGATTCTCTCCTTCCACCACATGGGTTCCAGGGATGGCTTGGTAGAAAGAGTCTTTGCTTGCTGATCCATCTTCTTGGCCTCTAAGAGATAATGATTATTATCTCACAATTGTAGAAGGCTAAATGACATGACACACGAATAAAGGCCTTGACATGTTTAAGTACTGACACTGGGTAAATGTTTATTTGCTTTCCAGTTTAGTAATAATGGACTGGTAAAAAGCTACAGTTTAGAAGGTCTACTTTTAAATACATGCATTTCCCTCATTGTTTCCCCTTGCTTATAACATTTATGTAATGCTGTGGGCTGTGTATAAGTCACACTCTGTCCTTTTACATATCTTGGATGTCCTGATTTAAGTCTTCAAACAATATCTCCAAGAAGAATATGTTAGTGGTCTGTTTTTGTGTCTATGGACCCATGAGTCATCATGTGTTACCTCCACACAGTCTTTTCCTTCAAAAATTTTCAAGAATCGTCTACCTTCTGACATTTCTTAATGGAGAACTGGGCTCAACCAGATCTTTGTTTTCTCATAAATAGCTGGTCTTCTGGCTGATCATTCAATGCTTATATCCCCAAACTTTCAGTGATCTCCAGAATAGCACATTTTTCAAGATTATCAAAGTGATCCCTGCAGTATAAATAACTATGACTTTTTAAGTGGGAATGTCAGAGGCTGGAGAGAGAGCTTTATAGTTAAGATCACTTGCAGTTCCTGCAGAAAACCAGAATTTGATTCCCAGCACCCATGCCAGGCAGCTCACAACTACTGTAACTCCAACTCCAGGGGATATACCCTCTTCTGACCTCCAAAGGTGCCAACACACACACACACACACACACACACACACACACACACACACACACACACAAAGTATTTTTAAAATTAAAACTTGCTGTTGTAGTAGTTATTCCAGACTCTTTCATGGAAGTCTAAAACCTTCAATAACCCCAACGAGTAATTTGTAGTTTTCATCTGTATTTCTTTTTTCCCCTTTAGCCTGTGGGTCCTGATTTTGTCTTTTATGGCATTAGCTTCAGTGTCTAAAATGGCATGCTCTACTCTACTGCCCTTGATGTGGATTCTACATCTGCTTCTACATTTTAATATAAATAAAAATATCAAAACCATTATAAAGTCTTTTTAGCTTTAGGATGCTGCTTTTGGGCTGGAAAGACTGCTTAGCAGTTAAGAGCACCTGCTTTCTGTATATTTCTTTTTTATTTAGTCCATGCTTCATTTTGTTGAATCTTTGAAGGTATTCTCATTTCTCTGGGCCGTTGGTGTACCTCCACCCCACACTGGACAGTGTTTTAGTTAGGGTTACTATTGTTGGGTTGAAACACCATAACTAAAGCAAATTAGGGAAGAAACGGTTTATTCACTTACACTTCCATATCACTCTTCATCATCAAAGGAGATCAGGACAGGAACTCAAATAGGGCAGCTCCTGGAGGCAGGACCTAATGCAGAGACCATGGGGGAGTGCTGCTTACTGGCTTTCTCTCCATGTATTCAGTCTGCTTCCTAATATAACCCAGGACCACCTGTCCAGGGGTGGTACCACCCAAAGTGATCTATCTATGCCCTACAGACATGTCTACAGGCAATCTGGACGGAGGCATTTCTTCAGTTGAGGTGTCTATTCTCTAATAACTCTAGCTTGTGCCAACTTGACAAACAAAACTAGCCAGGACACAACCTATGATTGTACATGTAGGTATATCAGTGGGCATCATATAGACAACAGAATACAGGCCATCCAATACTTGGCAGGTGATTCATGTATCGATCCTAAACCCAATTTAAACAAGAAGGATTTCTTTTTATGAGGTATCTCCATCTCAATGTGAACAAGAAAGCACCGTGTGTGTGTGTGTGTGTGTGTGTGTGTGTGTGTGTGTGTGTGTGTGTGTGTGTGTGTTACTTCATTTAAATATGATGGTACAGGCCTGCAATCCCAGTAATCAGAAGGCTAAGGTAAGAGGATCCAGAGATGGAGACCAGAGGACTATATATAGAATGAGTTCAAAGACAACTGAGGTTTCAAGGAAACCCATTTCAAACAACACCACCATCAAAACGTGGCCTTTAAAAATTTAACATTACCTGGCCTCTAACAAGCTGTCAGACATCTCCTCACATTTATTCTCCACAGTTACACACCTGCAGCCTCATCATCTTCCTTACTGTGCCTGGGATATTGAAACTTGCCTGTCCCAGAGAGTTTGCATAGTTTACCCTGTCTGGAACATTCTTCTAGCTATCACCAGGACCCATTCCCTTGTGTAGGTTCAAACATCGGCTCTTCCAGGAAGTCTTTCCTGGGAACGCCATCATCACCTTCTTCTTGCTTACCTTACTTCTTTATGTGCATCCTGGTGTTGCATTTCTTAGTGTTGCTTGCAATCTGCTGTCTTTCACTATCATAGAAAGTCATGAAATCAGGGATTCTGTCTGTTTGTCTACCACTATACTTCCTGGGTCTAGAACAACCTGGTATAAGGTAGGTGTGCATTCTTAATAAACTTGTGGACAGCAAAAGGAATTTATAGAAAAGCCTCTAAAATATGTTGGTTTAATCCTAGTTTTTTTTAGAATTTTCATGGGAAGTTTGAAAGTAAAAATTGAGGAATACACATCAAAAAGTACTTTTCATTTTGAAACTGTATTTCAGACTTAAAGTTTTCTTTCACTTACCATCATGTTTTTCTTACCTATTTTACCAAATAGCACTGAACATGGTTACCAGTGACAGGAACAAACAAAAAGTTTTTGGCAAGATACAAGTTATAGTTACAAGTCTCTCTCTCTCTCTCTCTCTCTCT